GTGGCCACTTCTAGGTGGTACACTCTGTATAATAGTTAATAATTATAGTATATAATAGTTAGTATTAATAATTAGTATATAAAATGTCAAAATAACACAGGTCTATAAAAAGAAAATATTTTTAGACCCAGAGACCAGACAAGGTTATTTCAAAGGTTTTTCGTGCGCTGAATTCAATCCCGGTGATTTTTTCGCCCTAGCATGTCAGAATTTTGAGATATCTTAACCTAAAAGTGAAAAAAGGCCTATTTTGGACATATTTGAGGTTATGTAGCATGAACAAATGGGATTTTTCTTTATTACCGTATTCGTCATCAAAAAGTATCATTCTTCCCCTCCAAATAGCGTTTTCGATTGCCCTGATACGATTCCTAGTTGCTGAGATATTGCACTTTAAATTTGAAACGATATCATTGCTAACGATAGTGTACAGAATACCATTACAGGAATCATTAAATGTAGAAAATTTGCGATATCTTGATAGTGTTTTACGACAGCGTTTGAAATAACCAAGTCTATTGAAGAAGAGCTTACGAAATCAATCACAACTCATGAGTCCGAATCCCTTGAAACCCAGATCCCATGAATCAAAATATCATGAATGCAAAGTTTTAGATTCAATCCATCTCAAATCCAGTGAAATTAAATATGAGCTCAGAATATTTCACGTGACCCCTTAACCTGAACAAATAGGATTTTTCTTTATTATCGTATTCGTCATCAGAAAGTATCATTCTTCCCCTCCAAATAGCGTTTTCGATCGCCCTGATACGATTCCTAGTTGCTGAGATATTGCACTTTGAATTTGAAACGATATCATTGCTAACGATAGCAGTAGTGTAGGATACCATTACAGGAACATAAAAAGTAGAGAACTCGCGATATCTTAATAACAATAGCATCTGAAAGGACTTAATCGTGGACGTAGAACCTATAGAACTGTGACTCATGAGCTCTTGACTGAGACTCAAAGCCTTTAATCGCAAACTTCAAAGTCTCAAACCCTGCATCTTGTAAAGGTTCGGAGTTTGGTACTTTCATCTCGGCGGCTTGAGGTATAAGAATCAAGACTACAACTTATAAGGTATAGGGTTCAAGAAAGCGGGATTTGAATATATAAGATCGAATTGTTTGTGTCACAAATTGTCGAGTGACATTTCATTCGATGCAGTTAATCAATCAGTCGTTATCACAGCTGTTATTCACAGTAAATTGTCTCACGTTTTCTCGAAGAGTTTTTTTATTATAGTAATATCTATTGAATAGAGATCTTTTCAATATAGCCATACATCAGTCATTATCACGACTGCTATTGAAAGTACATTGTTCCGGGTATTTCCAAATAGTGTTTCACCATCTTCTTCTCGTGGAGTAATTTTTATCGCGAGCATTTTCTATTAGTTGCATTCATGACCATTGCTGTCTTATAAACTGTATCCAAGTATTCCCAAAAGTTTTAATCAAGTTGTAGTTCAAGCAACGTTGTAGTTTCCATCGTCTCAACATGTCATCAAGGTTTCCATGTCATGAAAAAGTCAATACATTTTGCTATATATGTGGCCAGTATGAAGTCGCTCATCTTCGTAAATCAATCAATGATGATATAAAAAGTAAATATCGCGAGTGCTTTAAAATACCAATGAAAAACTTGAACAAGTCATGGGTTCCAAAATGTGTTTGTAATTCATGCAAAGTAATGTTAAATCGACGAAACGAGAGAAACCAATTTTCAGAAACCATCTTGGAACCAACATTTTGGCGGGAGCCCTCAAATCAGGCCAATGATTGCTTCTTCTGTTCCTGCAATACAATGCAAAGAATAAAAATAAAATAATTTATGCGATTGTAAGCTCTGTCACGTCAGTTAAGAAGGGTAAAATGGTGGTATCTACTTCAAAATTGCGAGACCCAGCAGAACAAAGCAGAAAGCTCAATCACATTTGATGAAATGGAGACTGTTGAAATCAAATACGAAGAAGATAGTGACTTTGAAGATCCATCATCTTCCAACAATCCCATTTTATTTGGTCAAGATCATCTCAATGTGCGTGATTTGGGTCATCCAAAAGATTCGTCTGAGGTATTAGCCTCAAGACTCCAAGAAAGAAATATGTTATTACCCAGAACTAAAATTTCTGTATACCGTAATAGGGAAAATGCTTATTTGGAATATTTCACGCAAGACGAGGACCTTGTTTATTGTAAAGATGTTAGAGGACTCATCAATAAATTCAAACCTGATTTATATGATGCAGACAAGTGGCGGTTATTTATAGATTCCTCAAAAGCGAGTCTCAAAGCAGTCTTACTGCATAATGGTAATAGATATGCCGCGATTCCACTCGCTCACTTTACTACATTGAACGAATCGTATAAAACTTTAAAGTATCTTCTCGAGAAGATTGATTATAACAAACATAACTGGCTTCTTTGTGCTGACTTTAAAGTGATTAATATGATGTTAGGTTTACAATCGGGTTTTATCAAGTATCCTTGCTTTCTTTGCGAGTGAGATAGTCGTGCTTGTGACAAACATTGGGTTCCAAAACTTTGGCCAGCAAGAGTCAATTTTATTGAGGGATCAATGAATGTAACAAATAAACATCTCGTTGATCCAAAAAAAATATTGCTGCCCCCGCTTCATATTAAATTGGGTTTAATGAAGCAGTTTGTCAAGGCATTAGATAAACAGGGCAAATGTTTTCAGTATTTACAATCCAAATTTCGACATCTGTCAGATGCTAAGATACATGAAGGAGTATTTGTCGGTCCAGACATTCGGTTGTTGATGAAAGATGACAGTTTTACTCCGACTATGACTGATACTGAGAAAAAAACTTGGCTAAGTTTCAAATGTGTGATTGAGAACTTTTTGGGTAATAACAGAGACCACAATTATAAAGAAATTGTTTCATCTATGCTTAAGAACTTCGAGAACTTAGGTTGCTTGATGAACATGAAAACATTTTCTATTCTCTTATTTAGATTTTTGTTTGAAAAATCTTGGTGCCTTTAGCGAGGAACATGGTGAACGCTTCCACCAAGATTTCGAAGTGAAAGAGAGGCACTATCAAGGTAGGTGGCATGTCTACAAGATGGCGGATTACTGCTGGTCTCTTAAGAGAAACGAATCTACAATGAATGATCACAGTCGTAAGTCTCAAAGAAGATCTTTTGAGGAAATAAGAACTTGTTTCCAAAAGAAAACGAAGCAATCAAGAAATTCTAGTTGAAGGTTCGGAGTTCATATGTTACTCAGAATTTAAGGTTCAGAAAATATACACAGTTTTACCTTAACTGGCCGGACGCCACATTGTCTTGCCTTAGCTGGCCGGACGCTACATTGTCTTGCCTTAGCTGGCCGGACGCCACATTGTCTTGCCTTAGCTGGTCGGATCCTACGCTGTCTTGTCTTAACCGGCTGGATGCTTGGCAGTGAACCGTTGCTCCCAGGTATCTTCTGAGTTCGGTGGCTCAGATTCAAAGGGTTCAGAGTTTAGGCATCGAAATTGGAGAGCCTGACTCTAAGGATTGAGAGTTTTTACGATCAAAGCTTACAGATTCAATTTTTCAGAGTTGCGTGTTTGAGAGTCGAGGGACAAAGAATTCAAAGTCGAGAGATTAGAGTTCCAAAGTTCAAGTTTCAAAGTTTCAATGTTCGGTTCCAATGAATTAGAGGCATAAAGATTTAGTTTCAATGTTCGGTTCCAATGAATTAGAGGCATAAGGATTTAGGTTACAGGGTTAAGGGTTCACGGCTGAAATATTCTGAGCTCATATTTAATTTCACTGGATTTGAGATCTGGATTGAATCTAAAACTTTGCATTCATGATATTTTGATTCATGGGATCTGGGTTTCAAGGATTCGGACTCATGAGTTGTGATTGATTTCGTAAGCTCTTCTTCAATAGACTTGGTTATTTCAAACGCTGTCAAACACTATCAAGATATCGCAAATTTTCTACATTTAATGATTCCTGTAATGGTATTCTGTACACTATCGTTAGCAATGATATCGTTTCAAATTTAAAATGCAATATCTCAGCAACTAGGAATCGTATCAGGGCGATCGAAAACGCTATTTGGAGGGGAAGAATGATACTTTCTGATGACGAATACGGTAATAAAGAAAAATCCCATTTGTTCATGCTACATAACCTCAAATATGCCCAAAATAGGCTATTTTTGCACATTTAGGTTAAGATATCTCAAAATTCTGACGTGCTAGTGCGAAAAAATTACCGGGATTGGATTCATCCTGATATTTTTCTCGACTACGTCTCTTCAGGGGGGAGTAAAGAGGGGTCTTATAGTATTCTCGAATTAAGAATCTATATCTTGGTTAATGCACCAAGTAAAATATATGCATATGTCTTTCACGCATTTTAATTTTCGCGAATTACTAATCTTTAAAAAAATTTTACGCACTACCATCCGCGGTGGCTCTTAATCGCCCTTTTCTCGAATTGTTGTTTAATACATTACAGAGCCTAATTTCTTTATCTACTTATTAATTTATTACATTTTAAATATAGAATAATTTTAATATTACAATAAATAATAAAAGAATTTAATTCTATAGTATAATATAATTTTTTCTTATTTTATTATTCTTAATTTATTATAATTACTACAATTTTGATATTATCATTTTTTTTTGTAAGAAAAGCAAGTTTAATTAGTATACATTAAAACAGTATCTAATCAATATATATTAAAGTAATATCTTTTTTAAACAATAATTTTTTAAATGCACGCACAAATTTAACGTTTTCTTAATCTTTTTTGAAAGTACAACTTACTAATGATTTATTTTTATATATTGATTTTTTACCTTAAATTTAATTTTTTTATTTATTGATATAATAGGTAATATAACGATATAGGAATGCAGATAAGAAACATTTGATATTTGATTTTGTAATAAAAATAAATGCGATACTTTGATAAAAAAAGAAAAAAAGTCATATTTAATAATTTATAAATATTTATTTTACAGCACATCAAATACAAGAAATACACAAAACAATGAATGGTTATTGAACGGATCAAATGGAAAGAAGCCACCTGTATTATGTTTTAAGTAAGTTGATATAATTAAGAACTATAATAAACTATCTAATTTTATTTAAATATCTATGCATACACGCGCACATTTGTTAATATACAGGGTGTCCGTCAATTTTCGACCTTAACGAAATAAGGAAGTAAATTGGCTTAAATTAAGAAGTAAGGACCTTTCATTGTTTTGTGATTGTCGCAATAATAACGAAAAATTAAATAAAGAAGATCGGCCAATCTGCGTGAGTAGAAGCGCGCGTGGACGAGAGTCGTCCCACTGTCTGATACTGCGAGCGCGGCGAAGCGGTGGGCGGGTCGCTCTTCGAGACATGATGGTGGTTTGCAATATATTGCAATACCGCGCCGAAAAATGATCCGTCCTTTTAATGGCGAGAAAATGATGCGCTATCATTACCCCATCACCTTGCAGTAGATAGCATGGTGCGCTTTTTTTATAGTGGTTTTTCCCATAGGCCTATTCCACTCTCAATTTGAAAATTATTCAAAATGCCATTACTATACGCTGAATGTGTCTTAAATGTAAAAAATTGATGGTGACAGTACCTTTACAAAAATTGATCCGTTGAAAATCCCCCGATAAAATGTATTGCATACGTTGATTTTTATTAAAACGTCTTAGCTCTCGTACGCTGTTGCCAGACTGCATACACCAGCAGCACGTAATTACAGCTGAGCGGACATGTGAGTGTAATCATAGTGCGAAGGCGTCGAACTCACACGTACGCTTACACTCACATGTCCGCTCAGCTGTAGTTGCGTGCTGCTGGCGTATGCAGTCTAGTAACAGCGTGCGAGAGCTAAGACGTTTTAATAAAAATCTCGTGTTCGCGTAGTAAATTAACAGTGAAAATGAAGTATACTCTACAAGAATATACGGATATGATTGTAGCATACGGACTAGCGGGAGAAAATACTTTTCGTGCGGTCGCAATTTACATGGAATCATTTTCCGGGCGTGCGAAAACCATGTGTCTGTACAATTTTACGTGTTGTGCAATAATTATGTGAAACTGGGTGTCGTGCATAATATCGGGATAACCGTCCAGCAGTGCGCCTTCGTGTACGAGATAAAGAAAGGATTTTTGAAGCATTTTATCAACGTATCATTATCAACGTGTACAATACATTTTATCGAGGGATTTTCAACCACGAATCAATAAAAGTACTGTCACCATCAATTTTTTACATTTAAGATACATTCAGAGTATAGTAATGGCATTTTGAATAATTTTCAAATTGAGAGTAGAATAGGCCTATGGGAGAAACAACTATAAAAAAAGCGCACCATGCTATCTACCGCAAGGTGGTATGGAAATGATAGCGCATCATTTTCGCGCCATTAAAAGGACGGGTCATTTTTCGGCGCGGTATTGCGATATATTGCAAACCACCATCATATCTCGAAGAGCGACCCATCCATCGCTTTGCCACGCTCGTAGTATCAGATTACAGTAGAACGACTCTCGTCGCCGCGCGCTTCTACTCACGCAGATTGGCCGATCTTCTTTATTTACTAGAACTGTGAATTAATTTTGAGGGATTTTTTTGTAAATTCAAGGCTTTATTGTGAAAAATTGTGTACATTATTATTTTTCAAAGTATTGTCCATCGCTAGCCACTACTTTTTCCCATCTTTCTGGCAGCATACGGATTCCGCGTCGAAAGAACTAGAGAACCTCTAGGAGAGAGAATGGACAACTGATCATGTGACATGTGATCAAGCTTTTTCATGATTGGCTGGCAGAAAATGTATCAATTTTAGCTATTGCGACGCCAATGCAAAATATGATGACACACAAATAGGACATACATGACACACATATATTAACCTATTTGTGTGTCATCATATTTTGCATTGGCGTCGCAATAGCTAAAATTGATACATTTTCTGCCAGCCAATCATGAAAAAGCTTGATCAGTTGTCCATTCTCTCTCCTAGAGGTTCTCTAGAAAGAACAACTCTTCTTTTGATGCTGTCCACCAATCGATCCAATTTTTCGTATCTTTGTAAGATTGGAAGCGCTGCTTAGCCAGGCCGTGTTCCATAAATCGGAACAAGTAGTAATCCAATGGAGCAATATCTGGTGAATATAGCGGGTGAAACATCCCATTTCAGCGTTTCTAAGTATTTTTTGATTACACGAGCAACATGTAGTCAAGCATTGTCATGTTGTAAAATTACTTTATCGCCTTTGCTCGAATTGTGACCGTTTTTCCTTCAATGCACGGATCAAATGCATCAATTGTGTTCAGTAGCGTTCACCAGTGATGGTTTCATTCGGTTGAAGCATTTCATAGTACACAACACCAAGCTGGTTCCATCAAATACAGAGCATGAGCTTCGAATCATGAATATTCGGCCCTGCCGTCGATGTTGATGCATGACCAGACAAACCCCACGATTTTCTACGCTTAGGATTATCGTAGCGTAACCATTTTTCATCGCCAGTGATGATACGATGCAAAAAACTCTTTCTTTTTTGCCGTTGAAGCAATTGTTCGCACGTGAAAAATCGCCGTTCAATCTCTCGGCTACAATTCGTATAGCACCCACAATTTCCTTGCTTTTGAATTATACCGAGTGCATTTAAACGTTTGGAAACTGTTGTGCGATCAACATTCAACGATTCAGCAAGTTTATATTGCGTTTGACATGAATTTTGGTCGAGTAATGCTTCCAATTCCTCATCTTCGCACTTTTTCGGTTGACTAGGGCGTGCTTTGTCAACTATCGAAATCACTACTTCTAAAACGTCGAAACCGATACTCACACATTTTTATCGATGGAGTATGTATACCGTAAGTTTCCAACAGCACTCGATGACTTTCAGCAGCACTTTTCTTTGAATTAAACAGGAAAAGTAAAACTTCCCGCAAATGGTTTTGTTGGCTCGTAATTCGACATCTTCGGAGCTGAGAAAAAATATGTTATTTACACTTCAGCAAAATAACACATAATAAAAAGTAAAGCCTAATGACAGAGCGTTGACATGAATATAGTTACAGAAGTGTCCGATGCGATATAGCAAGTTACGCCATCTATTGTAAATCCCTCAAAATTAATTCACAGTCCTAGTAATTTTTCATTAATTATTGCGACGATCACAAAACAATAGAGGTCCTTCTTTCTTAATTTGAGCCAATCTACTTTCTTATTTCGTCAAGATCAAAAATTGACGAACACCCTGTATATAACATACATAATATATGTATGCAAACATGCACATATATGCAATAAATATATACACATACATACACACAATCCGGTAATGATTGCATCCTTTCTCTCCACACGTTTATGTTTGTGCGAATTAGTCGATTTTCAAAAATTTTATTTCTTATTAATTATCGCAAAACAGTGGCTTTCCTATTCGATTTAATCCGCACGTGAAAAATGATACGATTATTACACATCATATACAGGGTGTCAATTAAGTCCCGGGACGGCTGAATATTTTCTCATGTAAGGTATTTTTGAAAAAGGTCAAGGTCATTTCTGAAGTAATTTTCAACGAGGAATTCAACGGTGACCTTCAATTTGACCTTGAGCTTGACCTTCAAGGTTATTTGAAGGTCAAAGTGTTTTTTTTAAATAGGAACCCCTATTTTTGATTGTATATTCTTATAGCTGACCTCGAGAGCTTTCCAAAACACTATAATAAAATATTTTTCCCTCAAGCATTTATCGAGTTATAATGCTTCAAATCATTTCTTAATTTTACATAAACCGTAAAATATCTTGTAAAATATTCACTTTTCGATTATTTTACCTTAATACTTTTATGTACAAAATAATGAGAGGAATCAATTGGTTTAAAGAAAACATACAGTTGTTTTTAAGAAAAAATATGGAATTGTTAATTGCAAATTACATATTTTTTCTTAAAAACAACTATATGTTTTCTTTACGCCAATTGATTCCTCTCATTATTTTGTACATAAAAGTATTAAGGTAAAATAATCGAAAAGTGAATATTTTACAAGATATTTTACGGTTTATGTAAAATTAAGAAATGATTTGAAGCATTATAACTCGATAAATGCTTGAGGGAAAAATATTTTATTATAGTGTTTTGGAAAGCTCTCGAGGTCAGCTATAAGAATATACAATCAAAAATAGGGGTTCCTATTTAAAAAAAACACTTTGACCTTCAAATAACCTTGAAGGTCAAGCTCAAGGTCAAATTGAAGGTCACCGTTGAATTCCTCGTTGAAAATTACTTCAGAAATGACCTTGACCTTTTTCAAAAATACCTTACATGAGAAAATATTCAGCCGTCCCGGGACTTAATTGACACCCTGTATATAAAGAGATTTCAAAAAGTACCAAAAGGAAAAATATTTCGAAAACAATATTTTAGAGGCAAATGTTAAAACAAAAGTTAACCGAGTAACAGATGGACATATGAATGTGATTTTGGATTAAGTATTAAGATCAGAAGGTACTTTGAACTTTTCCAAGTATAATTTCCTAATTTTTGTCGCATTAAATAATCTTATTTTCATCTAATTTTATTTTTATTATAATTAGTAAGATTTCGAAATATTTTATAAATTCTTTTTAATAAGAATGCATAAAAAATTACATCGATTTTATCGCCGCTTGGATATGTTATAAAGGAAGTTGTCCTAAGTAATTTTCCGCAGAAAAAAATAGGGAATGACATTAATTTTCAGAATATGCAGTAAAACAAGTTAAAGTTTGACAATTTTTAACGTTTTTCTTAGACATTATAGACTGATATTAAGAACATTGTACATATATATATATATATATATATATATATATACATATATATATATATACAGGGTGATTCAGAACAAGCATGCGTCTTTAAAATATCAAATTCATTCTTGAATGAATTCTAAGACGATTTTCCCTTTACCAAAATTTTCTACGAGGCTTAATTTTTAAATTACTAAAAATAATAGTTTTCGAATTACGGAACGAGTACAAGAGGTAGACATGGACGGCGCAACTCACCGTCCGATACAGGCGAT